CCCCAAAACCCCAAAACCCCAAAACCCCAAAACCCCATTTAATTGGATGAGGATATAATAATTTGCAAATTTCCCTCAAAAATGTACGGAGAGGAAGATATGAACGAAGAAGGCTCCTTTTGTCATGACATGGTTGGTATTAAGCTCAAGGAGGATCATGAAAAGAGGCCAATATGGATATCAGATCATTGCCACATCTTCTTAGAGGCTTTTAGTCATCTTTATCAACCAGCAACAGATTTCTTAATTGCAATTTCAGAGCCTGTAAACAGACCAGCACATGTGCATGAGTACATGCTCACCAGGAATTCGCTTTATGCTGCTGTATCTGTGGAGCTTAACAAGGAGGAAATAGTCCAAATTTTAGATAGACTCTGTAAAAATGAAGAAATTCCTCCAAAGGTACTGAAGTTTATTGAGACTTGCACTGCGCAATATGGCCAAGCAAAGTTAGTCCTGAAGGACAACAGGTACTTCATCGAATCATCGAAGGCTGATGTTTTAAGGATGATCTCTGATCTTCCAGAAGTCAGCCATGCTCACCACAGGATCAGATATGGGAAGGAAGAGACTAAGTCTAGCAAGATAATTCTACCTATTGATGAAGAAGGAGACACCAAGTTCAAAATTGCCCCAGGTAGTGGAAAGATCGAAGTACAAGATAGAGATGCTGAGAAATCAGATCATTTCAAAAGACTAAAGAAAGAGTTTAAGTCCCTCTTTGATGTTGACGATGATATGGATGATGGAGAGGCAAAATAAGAAAAAGCAAGGCTTAGTTTTAGAAATCCACCCAGGACATATAGAAGCAGTTAGATCTGAGTGTTTGGACAACAATTTTCCTTTGCTAGAGGAGTATGACTTTAAGAGAGACTCTAAATCGCCCACACTACCTATTGAGTTAGACTCAATTACGAAGGTTCGTCCTTATCAAGAGAGAGCTCTATCAAAAATGTTTTCACAAGCGAGAGCTAGATCCGGAGTAATTGTTCTTCCATGTGGAGCTGGTAAAACTCTTGTGGGAATCACTGCAACTACAACTATTAAGAAGAGGACTCTAGTGCTCTGTACTTCCTGTGTGTCAGTTGAGCAGTGGAAGGCTCAATACGTCCTTTGGACAACTCTTGATGAAAAGAAGATCATTAAATTATCTTCTGCTTCTACTAAGAAAGGAATTGAGTTTGAGCATGATGAAGCAGTCATCATGATCACTACTTACTCAATGATGGGACAAGGTAGCTCAGAAGAGACTATGAGAATTATGAACTATATTAGGTCAGTAGAATGGGGTCTGCTTGTCATGGATGAAGTCCAAGTCGTTCCTGCTAATATGTTCAGAAAAGTCTGCACACAAGTTAAATCTCACTGCAAACTGGGACTCACAGCTACTTTAGTCAGAGAAGATGATAAAATTCAAGATCTTAACTTCCTGATTGGGCCTAAATTGTATGAGGCTAACTGGCTGGATCTTCAAAAGCAAGGATATCTTGCTCGTGTACAATGTATTGAAGTATGGTGACAAATGACTCCTGAATTCTATAAGCCATATCTGGATGCGAAGCATAACAAAAAGATTATTCTTTACGTCAATAATCCTAATAAATTCATGGCTTGTCAGTACCTGATTAATCTTCATGAGAAGAGGGGTGATAAAATAATTGTATTTTCTGATAACCTATTTGCTGTTGAGAAATACGCAAGAATATTAAAGAAGCCATTTATTCACTCTAAAGTCTCGGATCAAGAAAAGTTAGGTATTCTCCATCATTTTCAAAGAACTGACAAAGTTAACACTATCTTTATCTCCAAGGTAGGAGATACCTCGATTGATTTGCCAAGTGCAAATGTGATTATCCAGATATCATCCCACTTCGCTTCAAGAAGGCAAGAGGCTCAGAGGTTAGGACGTATTTTAAGGCCAAAAGATACTTACAAAGATGAAAAATTCAATGCCTTCTTCTACTCTTTATGCTCTAAGAACACTACTGAAATGCTGTATGCACATAAAAGACAAAAATTCTTGGTAGACCAAGGCTTTGCCTTTACAGTAGTCAAAGAAATGCCCTTCATGAAAAATCCTGAAGAGAAAAAGAAGCTAAAAATGTCTGCTAAAGAAGAACAAGTATCCCTCCTCGAAGAAATCCTTGGAAAAGATGAAGAGAAAATTAAAGATGAGGAAGATGTTGAAGCAGATGCTGATGCCAAGCAGCTGATGAAATTCAAAGAATTAGAGTCCAATTTGGGCGGAATGGCAGGAGGAATGGGTATTTATAGCACATAAACTTAACTAATTTAATTGTTAAGCAATTTAGAACACCGATATATGATTTTTCAACATTTTTGCCAATTTTTGGGGTTTTGGGGTTTTGGGGTTTTGGGGTTTTGGGG